CACTTCCTTTAGGTATTACATGGAGCGACGATGAAAACAAAATACCATCAAATCATTTCTGAAAACAGTCAGAACCTTCAGAGTTACATTCATATAATTAATTCATTCATATATTCATTTGCATAATTCCCTTAGCACTCTTTTAAAACCTCCCAGCTTTTACGCCCTGTTTTCACTCTAAATGAAACTACTCTGTGCTGTGCGCACGTGAGACGGTTACTGAAAACTGTGCTTTATGCTGGACAGTATTTATTTATCGCGAGTTGTTCAAATCGCGGTAATCTAATACGGTTTTAATGATAATTAAAAGATGAAACGGTAATACTAACCGTGGGGAATTTTATCATGATTTATCGTCAAACCGGTAATCATTACATCCCTAGTCTCGGTTACGTACGTAACCCTCGTTCCCTGATGGAATTGGGATGTTATGTCCCACAGTGAATGGCACGTAGTGCACAATGTAGGCAATAGGGAACGAATCAGACAGTGTAAATATGCTTTCGATTGGTGCAAATGAGGTCTGGTTTTGTGTTGTTTCACGCGAACCCGGCAGCGCGCACAGTCTGCTCTGGACTTTGGCTCCGGTCCAGAGATGCGATCGCACGGAGTGGATCATATGCGCAAGTCTGCATATATTAAACACTTTTAAAACTATACAGTCTCAGCATGATTATGATCACTATTTTGTTTTACTAAGAGTTTTATATTGAATCTAATTTAAGGGGGTAATCTATTAGACTGTGGCTGTCAAATGCCGCTTTACCGAGCTCAACGGCTCTGGCCAGAGCAGATATAAACAAAACACTATTGGCTATTTTAAAAAGGGGGCGGGGCTGCTCGATATGTCCTGCCCTGTCTTTCTGTTTCAGTTGAAATTACGTCACCACTTAGAATAACGCTGCGTGTTTCAAGGCACTTCAGGGGATCTTTAAAGGGGTCATATGATGCGATTTCAATTTTTCCTTTCTCTCTGAAGTGTTACAAGCTCTTGGTGCATAAAGAAGATCTGTAAAGTTGCAAAGACTAAAGTCTCAAATCCAAAGAGATATTCTTTATAAAAGTTAAGAGTCAACCACGCCTACCTAAAACGGCTCGTTCTAACACACCCCCACATGTCTACGTCACGATGTGGGAAGATTTGCATAACGCTGCCTAAATGTTCACGCAAAGAAAGAAGGTGTAACTTTTATTCTCGCTGTAGTATTGTTGCTGCCGCCATGTCGTGAAGACGCTGTATGTTTCGTTGTGAAAGCGAAACTACTTTGTTTGGCCTTCCAAAAGAGGACGATATGCCTAGAGCTGATCCGTGCTGGTCGCTGAGGAAATACATCAACTTCGCGCTGTGGATCACCGGATCGTTACAAAAAACATTTAAAAAAATCCTATTCAGACTTTTAAAAGGTACATACTACCCTACTATTGAAGGGTAGTGTATATTTTGAACCTTTTTGGCACATTATATACAGCAGAGCCATTTGTACAGTTATATTTGTATCAATTTGTGGAATAACATGTTTTTTTCAATAGAATACAGGAAATATTTTTTTACTGGGATTAATTATAATAGTAATCATGAGTTGTAGCCCTATATTGAAGTTTAGGAAGTCAAAGGTCAATCAACATGCTGTGAATAAATGTTGTTAATATTTATGTTAATAAATATTATTATTTAAAAAGTATTTATTTCGTGTCCGTTTTCTGGGTCACAGATAGGGTAAAAATATTTTTAGGTTAGAATTATGCAAATAAGAAACTGAACTAGTGATCATCTGTAACCCATAGTTACATTAATGCCACAATAGTACTACAAAAAATGTAAAACTGCTGCTACAAAAGTCACCAGAATTGAACACTGTGGTTCTTTGAAGAACCCCCAGGCCCCCTAGAAAATAAGCATGTTTTTTTATTTTGTTTTACTTGATGGGGAGAAGTGCCAGCAATGCCACTAGAAGGAGGCCATGAAATGTTAGGGAAAGAAGAGTGGAATGGGCTTGGGAATTGACACGAAGATGAATCGCATGAGCACCACAGCTCAACTGCTAGACTATGGCCCAACAGAATTTCCTCTACACTTTACTGATCAAAGCATTCACTGTGCACCAAAACTAGACAGTCAAAGAACTATCACGAACTGGTGATATGGAGGTGAGTCCTCAGCAAGAATTCAGCATTTTGCCTGAACACAGGAGCCATATGTGGTGAGTAACAGGTGGTCTATCTGCAAATTCAGTGAAGCTCCATTTCGAATTAATATTCAATCCACGTACTGGCTGCATTCCAGTATCCATAAATTGGTCGAGCAGATAGTGTAGTGAGAAGCCTGCACACCCAGACGCTACAGGAGGCAGGTTATCCATCTCGAGACAGTATACCCCATACAGAGAAAAAGCATGTCCGGGAATACCAAAAAGGAGGAACAACATTAACATCTTTACTTTCCAGTTCTCTTTTCTCACTTTGCATTCTGTTTTATATTCCTGAATGGTGTGAAAAGCTCATGATGCAGAGGAACGGGATTTATGGCGACGGTGCAGAGTTCAGTCACTGCCTAAATTCATGCAGGTTACAAGCTTTCCCAAATCTCCTCTGACAGCTTGAACGCTGCATTGATTCCGAAAAGACGCGCACCTGCCTGCGCGTATAAATGTGTGTGTGGGAGAAGGGATTGATAAGGTAGTATAATTTCCAGTGTGCAGCAAGGGCTTTTGCATCCTTGTGGGAAGTGAGCATTTGTTGGTCTGCAGAGACTGTGGAAAGAACATCGATGAAGTTGTTTCCTTGTGAGCGCGCCGCAGCCCCGGTCCTGCTGCAGGCCAGCATGCCGCACAAGGGAAATGTGGACCTGTCGTAGATAGAAGATCAAAGCCGTTCACGCACACACACACTCTCGCAGCCTGAGAAAATAACCCTTAGCACTGCGCCTACAGGGGCCGTGCTGACAGCTGATTGGCTGAGCATCAAAACATGCAGCGAAGAGACCAAAAGCGAGCAAGAGAGAGGGAGAGAGAGAAAGGAAAAGATTGAGAAAAAGAAAACGACGTGGTCACAGAAAAAGAGATATGCTGAAAACTGAGGAGCAGAGAGAAGGGAAAAAAACACATAAGATACCGGGAGAAATATCAAGAGCAGAAGAATGGAAATGAAGAAGGAATGAGACAGTGAAAAGAGCAGTTTCCATTCCCTAGCAACTGTCTCGAACAGGCGTCACTCCAGGGTGTGAGCACCACAGCAGGGTCTCGCTCTCAAAACAACAACCCTCCTGTCTGTCATTCATACTCGCATACATTGGCAAGTCGTTTTTGGCTGGCTTCAGGCCTCTTTCTTGGATACCTCTGTGTATGTGTGTGTGACCCATTAGCAGAATCCCTCGGCGCTGTGTTAAAAGGGTTTAGAGTGTTTCAGTAATCCTGGAGGCCGGCAGATACGGGTGGGAATTGTCATCAAACAGGCCAACAAGTGACTTCTCTGTTACATCACACACCGCGCTGGATTAACACGTTCAAACTCTTTACAAAGAGCAGGGGGTTTCAACCTCCTGCACTCAGACTCTCAAGTACCCCCAATAAAAAAGCCTTGAGTTCTTCAGCAACCCCTTAACTTTCATTAAGAACATTGATTAACATTACTACATTATAAAACGGTTTAATTAAAAAAAATAAATAAGGGATAGAAATGTCATGAAATTTTAAGTTCCATTTAATTCATACACTACCACTCAAAAGTTTCGGTTCAGTAAGATTTTTTAAAGAAATTAATACTTTCATTCAGCGAGGATGCATTAAATTGATCAAAAGTGACAATGAAGATTTTACATTGTTTCTAAAAAATCAATTTCAAATAAATGCTGTTCTTTTGACCTTTCTACTCTTCCTGAATACAATGTGTCATGTATTAAGCAGCACAACTGTTTTAAACACCAACAAGAAGGAAGAAAGGAAGATCATGTGACACTGGTTGCTGAAAATTCAGCTTTGCCATCACAGGCATAAATCACATTTTAAAATAGAAATGACATTATAAAAGCCAATTATTTAACTTTGGAAACAACATATTGTCTTTGATAATATCACACTTACTATTTTCCCCAAAATGGGTCTTTATGCATGAAAACATATCACTGCTTTTACATATTAGGAAAGGGGTCCCTCTCAAGAGAATCATCATTTTTGAAGGTCCATGGCATGAAAATGTTTGCAAACCCCTGCCTCAGAGTTGAAAGCCCTGGATAAGACACTCACTCAACCACACAGTCAAATACATCCTCATGCATTCAAAGAACATGGACACATGTCATAGGCTCACATTGTTTCCATTCTGCAGCTTCTTCAAATACACTGCACCATGACCTTAACTATCCCATAATCACAGTGTTTGATCATCATGAGTACTAATACTAAAGAGAACAGCAGCCTTGCCTTTAATCTGTAGTACTCTCTCCACCTAATGCCTGTATTTACATATGCGAGTGAAGTCTTCTCAGTGATATCGCTGACAGTGCATCCAGGGCACTTGCTCATCAGTGCAGTGAATAAAGAGAGGCACTGATGGGAATACAACAAGCTCGGCTGGTTTAAAGTAGGTGAACGACACAAAAAGCTTCCCTCACCTCTCCCACCATCCCGTTCCAAACTCCATCAATCTTTTTTCCATGTTTCCCATTGGTCACCAAGTAGAGGTCATAGGTGAAGCCGACAATTCTGGCCAATCGCTTAAGGATGTCGATGCAGAATCCTTTGCAGCACTGTTTCATGGGTGCCACCCCTTCCTGAAGTGCACTGTAATTAGAGAGAAAGTGCTCACTTAGGTTTATTGCAGGTGTCAATAAAAATGTATCACATATTGCTTTGTTTTTTTTAAACTGCGCAATAAGATTCAGTTTAACATTTGGTAATGCATTGGTTTTTAGCTATAATATAATATATTACAATATAATGTAATATAATATGTAATACTTTATTATTAACTTGCATGCATTAAACTAGTCAAAAGTGACAGTTAAGACATTCATAATGTTAACAGGGATTTCGATTTCAAATAAATGCTGTTATTTTGCACTTATATACATATATCACGATTTCCACAAAATATCAAGCAGAACAACTTTGATAATCAACACAGATAATAATAAGAAATGTTTCTTAAATATGATTTCTATAGGGTCATGTAACACTGAAGACTGGAGTAATGGCTGCTGAAAAGTTTTTCCATCACAGGAATAAATTACATTTTTAAATATATTAAAACAGAAAACTGTTATTTTAAATTGTAATATTTTACTATATTTATTTTACAATATGTGTTGTGCATTGGCACACACACACACACACACAGTATACCCCTGAAGAGAGAGAACAAGAGGAACAGTGTTACCAAAAGGACTGAGAGTTACAGAGGGAATGTGAAATAAGGAAAGACGCAAGGTTTTCAGTAGTATACTGTCTTAGTACTTTTTCTTTGATGTAACTAAAAATGATATAATGAGACGAAACACGGGCATCCATATGACTGGTGTGGGAGTAGTGAAGCAGCATCCGCAGAGACACAAGTACACGGCAAGAGCTCAAGCAATTTGACAAGCAACATGATGGCTAAGTATGAATAGAGATCGCCACAAGGCAAAGTCAAAATGAGAGGGGGAGAGAGAGAAATAGAGAGAGGAAACGAGTGATCGATTGCAAAGCTAAGCTAGGTGAGTATAGCCCCAGGAACTTCATAGTGATATGTTGGGGGGGAAAAGTGAGAGACAGAGATAAAGACAAAATTGAAGGAATGTGACAGTTGACCGGAGAAAGATGACCAAAGCTTCCGAATGGAACTCTTTGGAACAAGAAAAAACAGGCCATGCTTACAGCCTCAATTTTCAATTTCAAAGTACTTCATTGGCATGCTTCATTGCTTTTCAATTAACAAATAAAATATAAATGCACACCTAAATATTGAATTGCAAGTTATGAAAATAATGAAGTGCAAGTTATGAAGACATCTTTATTTTTATACCACTGTTTTGCCATCAGCCTTCTCATGTGATAATAGCTTTTAATATTAATAAGTATTTAAGTAAATAAAATAAAATAAAATAAAAACAATAAAATCTAATTGAAATGATTAAAATTTGGCACAAAATGTAAAACATTTAAGACATTAAAACTAAACTGAATATAAAGATTAAGTATTGGCATACACTCTTAAAAATAAAGGTGCTTCAAAAGGTTCTTCAAGCGATGCCATAGAAGAATAATTTTTGGTTCCACAAAGAACCATTCAGTCAAAGGTTCTTTAAAGAACCATCTCTTTCTTACCTTTTTGTAATCTGAAGAACCTTATTTCGCCACAAAGAACCTTTTGTGAAACAGAAAGGTTCTTCAGATGTTAAAGGTTCTTTATGGAACCATTTAGACAAAAAGGTTCTTCTATGGCATCGTGAAGCACCTTTATTTTTAAGAGTGTATGCAGGTGTACAGTACTAATATAATTTTGACTGTAACAGATGCATTACTGCATTTCTCCACTAACACCTGCATTTGTCAGAAGGTTTAGAAAAATATAGAATGACACTGCAATGCCTGTCTCACTGAAAGGTCATAGACCCGTGAAAGGAAGAAAATCTAGTTCCTAACCTGTCCACTGAAACATGAAATTTTCTAATTTAACTTTGGTTTCTTGGGATCCACTAGAACAATATTACTACAATGTTGCTTTTCCACCATACAGAAAAGCCATGATAAACAGCAGTCAAGGTTGCCAGATCAGTACTAACCTGGCATTGAGAGGCCGTCTGCATGGTACAGAGTCCCTAATGCAGGTTCCAGAGGCAGGGTCTGCAAGCTCCACGATAACGAAGGGTCGCTCCTCCAGGGTCACGACCCTCAGGTGCTGAGCATCATCGGGTGGCTGCAGGAAGGGGCTATATCGTGACCAAGCAGGATACCTCAAACGTAACACCCCGTTCTCCCACCATCCTACCTAAGATCACACAGACAGTACATGGTCGAGGGTCAGAGGTCATTCGCGACTATGCAGTTGCAGAAATGTGGCCAATAAATTGAGATATCAATTTAATAGGTTGTGCTTATAATGACCATGACAAAAGCTGTTAAAACATGACTACTGCTCATTTTGAATCCAATTCATGAATCAGTAATACATGGAAGTCAAAGGTCTTTTCAGCGTTTTTAGCTATTTAAAACGGTCTATTCTAATAGTCATTGAGGCTGGATTACAGACAGGAATGGCATCCCTTTCTCAGGTTAAGCCTGTAAAGTGAGGAAGGATAGTGAAAAATGAAAGACTATCTCCTCTATGTTCCTCTGTGAGCTTATAGCTGAGGGCTCTCTAAAAACAGTCCTGTGCCCTTTTTATTCACTGGGGAATGAGTGGATTTTTCTTTTCAGAGAAAAAAAGACAGATTTTTAGCTAAGTGACGGGCCACAGAGGAAAAGGTTACGAGCCAGAGAAAAAACAGAGAAGGGGTCAAATGTGTCAAGTTAGGCTAAGACAGTATAACTGAGCTCATAATCCATATACAGAAGACTAAGACCTGCAGAACTGTATGTATCAGAGTGCTTAACAGAAAATAAACCAAAACAAAGTTGTCAATTAAAAGTGTGCTTTTATTTACAATTAAGCATTATTTATATTTACAATAATTATTATTATCATTTATTTTCTTAAATTTATAATAATATATTCTTCATCTTATTATTATTAATAATACTATTGCTATGATTAATGACATGTAGATTATACTTTATATAAAAGCTTACTATTAGTAGTATTAATGCTACAGTACTATTAATAATCATCATAATAATAAAAACCCGTTCTTATACAAAAGTATAATCTACATGTATTAATACCAATAATAATTCATATGTATCTTATTAATTTTAATATTGCTACTATCACTAGTAGTAGTAGTAGTAGAAGAAGAAGAAGAAAAAGGAGAAGCAGCCAAAGAAGAAGAGTAACAATAATACATTTTCTTATTCCTCTTATATACAAAATGCAGTTCAGAGTGTTTCACGGGTCAGAGAAACGTTGATGTAAAACTAACTTTTATCCGAAGCAAAACACAAATGAGAAATTCTATAACACAAGCAATGCATCATAAGGAGACAGCAATAAAAGAAGAGCTGTGATACAAAGCATCAGTTCAGTTTCATATTTCATCCAAAAATGAAAAATTCTGTCATTATTTACTCACCCTCACGTCATTCCATTCCTGTACACTGTTATTATTTCCACAAACCACAAAAGAAGAATGATCTGAATCTTTAGGTTAATCTTTTTAAATGATAGATTGCAGTGACCAGGGTTTGTCAAACTCCAAAATAGCTAAAAAAGCAATACAGTAAATGCTTTTTTGAAAGAAAAAAAAAACATAAATGCAATCCACATGACTCCCTTTCAGACTGAAATTTAAGTCGCAATTGTCTCATAAACAAACGGCATGAGGTTATGACATCAAATATCTAAGCCAAACGTCAAACGTGCGGAAAGGTGATATGTGTGCACTTAAAAAATTAATTTAGAGTGATTTTATTTCATTTCGTTGCAAGGACAAATATGAAGATTCATTCGTCAAAAAATAACATACAGTTTTGGAATGACATCAGAAAGAGTTTTCCAGTTTCAGAACTATTCCTATAGGACACAACAACCTCTCAGCAGTTTGTAAGCAGCACACACTTCACATATTACTGTCTTGTCCCAGTCCCAACACTCAAAAGTTTGCTAGCAGCACTGAGCCGTAGGACTCTCCCCTACACACCAGCAGAAAGTGGCAGCTATCAGCACCAAAGCAGCCCTCGAGAACCATTCAGATACAGCAAAAGATGTTCAGCTCTTTAAAAAAAGTCTCAGCGGTATGCAGAGAATAAATATACTTCTCATATGCCATGTATGTGCACGCATATAACTCAAAGATATCAGACAGCGGCTGGCAGCTAAAAGATTTAGTTTGCTAGCAGCACTGAGCCGTAGGACTCTCCCCTACACACCAGCAGAAAGTGGCAGCTATCAGCACCAAAGCAGCCCTCGAGAACCATTCAGATACAGCAAAAGATGTTCAGCTCTTTAAAAAAAAGTCTCAGCGGTATGCAGAGAATAAATATACTTCTCATATGCCATGTATGTGCACGCATATAACTCAAAGATATCAGACAGCGGCTGGCAGCTAAAAGATTTAGCATATTAGCACAGAATCAAAACAGAGGCATCTAATTGAAAAGAATCGAACAGGAAATGGCAGCAGTCAGCATGTAGATTCCTGCAAGCGCTGGTCTCATTGGGCTAATTAACCCACTTCTAACTGCTGTGCCATTACAAAGGCTCCGAAATCAAACGCATCCGGGGTGGATCACTGGAAATTACAAAAAGCCGATTCTGCGACATTGGCTCACCTGGTCCCTGTCTCGTTCAATGTTCATCAATCTGTCTGCTTGGGTTAGTTTGACTGTCCATTTGTCAGCTTCCTCGCTCTCTCCCTCCTTAAATGCTCGTTCACCTCAAGGGTGATAACTATAATGATCATTTTAAGAGAATAGGGCAGTGACAACAACAGAGGAACAACACTGTTGGCATCACTTACAGAACAATTTTTTTTTCCAGCTAATGGATAATAAAAATATTGACAGCCAATCAGTATATGTCTTGCTTTAAAGAGCATGACCATTTAAAGCACCAGAAGACAAACACTGCAGCGCATGCTTATAATGAATGTTAAAGGAATAGTTCACCCCAAAATAAAAATTGTCATCATTTACTCACTCTCCACTTGTTCCAAATGTGTATGAGTTTCTTTGAACATGAAAGAAGATATTTTGAAGAATGTTAGTAACCAAACAATTGACTTCCGTAGTATTTTTTTCCCCAATACTATAGAAGTCAATGACTACGGTCGACTGTTTGGTTAGCAACATTCTTTAAAATATCTCCTTTAGTGCTCAACAGAAGAAAGAAACTCAGAAAGGTTTGGAACAACTTGAGTGTGAGTAAATTATGACAACATTTTCATTTTTTGGGTGAACTATCCCTTTAAAGCAAATGTATGTAGCCCTCTACACTCTCAGAAAAAAAGGTACAAACTGGATGGAGCATATTAGTACCTTAAAGGTACATATTATTACCTAAAGTGTACATATTAGTATCTAAATGGCACATATTAGTAAAGGGTAACACCTGACCCCCAATGACAGCTTTTGTTTGTTTTTTTTAATGAGAATGTACATTCAAGTGAGTGGAATTCACAGTCATAATTACAGTGGATCGCTGTACACATGCATTTCTTGAAGCTGTAAAGTAGTCGGTCCTTTTAGCTGAATTTTGTACCCGCTCTCCAAACTTATATACTTTCAGAACAAACCTTTGGTGAGCATGGGAAAGAAACACAAGCCATTTGCCTTATTAGAAGTCAGTATACCAGCAGAATGATTTAGAAAATAGCATTTCAAGGTTAAAAAAAAACTTCCATACAGTTGCTTTAAGCTTAACTTCCAAATCAAACTGCTTTCTGTTGCGGCAAATCTGCTTGACCAACTTCAACCCGTGGGTAAATCTTTTGCCCTTTTGCAGAATCCCCAATCGCATGGATTCCTATTGAAATGCCGGCAAAAATGAGCAGAATGAGAGTAAATGTAACTGCACATTGGTGTGGGAGCTAATATAACAGAAGTAGTTATTGTTATAGTTAACTTTATAGTTATTATTCTTGGTGTGAACGGGCCTTTACAGTCTGTTAACCCAAGATCCATTTTCTCTGAGCAGCGCTGACGGGAGGGAAGGGAACAGGAAGGGAATGTTGAGTTTGCTGGCTCGTGTCTGCATCTGACAGACAGCGTCAGTCAGCCCAGAATCCGCCACGGAAAGAGATCCAGCCACACATCTCAACAGGTGACACTGTCTTGTATTAAGGATGTCTGAACAGCTTCATAAAATACATGTATGGCGTGTCACAAAGTAGCACAGCCATGCAAGGTAGGACTGTGTGGGATCCGAGTGGCTTTTTGCAGTTGCTTGAAGGATTGAAATGCTAATGATGCACAGTGTTTAGTGTCATATCTTTATAATACTCTTTAATGTGTTTGAATGTGCTGTTGGGTTTCTCTTCTCCCTCTTTCTTCTCTGATCTTTCTCCTTCTCTGTCCACCCCTCCCCCGCCCGAATCTTTCTTACTCTCTTCCACCTCCAGAGTTCTCAGGGCCGATCCATGTCAGCGGCAGCCAGATGTCTTAACTCTTTTCGATGTTGGAATGTGGGCCGACAAAACGACCGAAATAGGAGTGTTGGAGCATGTGTGGAGAACCAGAGATCCTGCGGTGGATAACAAAGAGCCAGAGTAGCAGAGATCTGGGCCCAAGCTGAGGGGGCAGAGTCTCACTCAGGCAGAGGAAGAGCAGGGGCCTGATCAAACACCGGCTCCCCTGGGAACGGATAATACTTTCACAGGGTGAAACACAAACATGCTGCCATGACACCCCCGTCCCCGTGAACGTCCCTGTGTGAGGAGGATGAAACGAGTCGCTTTTACCCCAGCGCGATCCTTACAAATCCACTAGCAGATTTACACGGCATAAACACACATGGACACATCCTGACAGGTACAAAGAGGGTTTGGAGAAATGTGCTTGGCATTTCATTTCTTAAACGTCTCCCCCCCTGATATGTATCGATTTACGAGAACAGCACGGACAAATGGGATCAAAAGCGCTGTAGCAGTTAGTTTGTTAAAATGCTATAAATGCTGCATGTTGAAGCCGTCACATGAAGTGCCTTGTGCACAACGGGCTTCTGGAAGTTGAGTCATCCACATCCATTGTCTACTCTGTGTTAGACAGAATGCATTTAAGAGAACCAGAGACAGAACGGAGTGAAGACAAAGACAGCGTGCATCATGTTTTAATAGAGCGCCCTCCTAAAACAACTGGAAATTGAAAACCTTCTATAGTCAGCTTGGAAGCCTTTTAAATGTACATTATGGCGCTCCATTAAATATTTTATGTGAATGACAAAGACTCTGTGACTCTGAAGTACAAAAGCATCCAGATGTCTCTAACAGCACTTTTCTCCAGAACATATCTGCAAATGAGAAGCAGAAGCTAATGCCAGAACCAGCATCATGCAACCCTTAATAGACTGTTGCACCGTTTGATGGGTTTTTAGGAGTTATTCTGTTCACAGATTTCAAAAACAGCAAAATTCCACTTTAATAGTGTACCATTACATTACCAAAAAAAAAAAGCCAGAAAGTTTTAAAGGAATAGAATAATTAAACTTCTATCAAGATTTACTCATGTCATTTCAATTGTAGTTTTTAAACTTTTTTATTTACAGAAACTAGTAGTAATATTTTTTTAAATAAATAAAATAATTTTAAACAACAATAATTAAATTTGTAATTTAGTACGTATTTACATTGATTTTTATTTAGTATATACAAATAGTAGTTTCTCCCCAATTTTTAATATAGAAAATATTTTAAAGATTTACATAACTAGAAAAATGTATATTCATTGTAGAAATTTCAGAGACTTTTTAATATTTTAATCATTTGCATGACACTTCCAGGTCTAGAAATCACACTTTTAAAATTCCCATATCCAGGTTTTCCAAGACTGTGAAAACCCAGAGTCTACATCTTTATATTTAACTGTTTGACCTTTTTTAAAAACACATTTTGTCTTATTTTAAATTATTTGACTGCCCCAGTAGTCACCATTCACTTTCATTGTGTAGAAAAGAGTATCATTAACGTACTGTCTAGCATTTCTTTTTATGATCAACTGAAGAAAGAAAAAATCATTTGGGTTTGGAACGACATGAGAGTAAATGATGACAGAATTCTATTTTTGGTTGAATGATCCCTTTAATACAGGAGAAAAGAAAGATTTTAAGGAAATGAAAGACTGGCCTGATTCAGAAAGGACTAAATGTAGAACAGACAGCAAGGAAGAACTAATTTGCTGGCACCTAAACAAAGCCTATATGAGAACATTGACAGAACAAACGATCAACACTCGACCTTTCAAGACGCCCAGGGCAACACAATCCCTGTGCATCCTCTCACTCCCCTAATGAAGCCAGTTAACGTTAGCCTGGCGCTCGACAGAATGTGCTGAAGTTTGAACTGCAATCATTGCTCCAGTGCATGAGAATTCTCCTGAAAAGCATTGATTTTAAGATATGTTGTGTACAGTATGTAATGTGCATAAATATAGACTGTGACAAGCTCAGCAGAAAATAACCCCCACTCTGTATGGAAACTTTTTTGCTCCTATGTCTCAATGTCAGTGAATTTTGCCCGAAGGAATTAGAATTTCTCCAAAGTACATAATCCGCTGTAATTTTCCCTGTTAACAGATTGTAGAGGTGGAAAACACAAGCGCTGCCAGGGATTACAATTTTCTTTGTGGCATCTAAATATTAATAATTCTGTTTTAAGGCACCGTTTTGAGTGGCACCTTCATGTATACGACATTCTCCCCAGCTATATTTACTCAGCTGGGTTTGGGATCAGTTATTTTGTCTCACGACAGCAGCGCTCTGCGGAAGAAATGTAGAGCCACGCCGTCCCATGTGGCACCTACGATACGTTGATATATGAGAAGCTAATCAATTTAAGGGAGTTTTTATTCATTTATTTATTTATTCTTTCTTCGCTCAGACATATTTAACACAAACATAACTATTGAAGGAAGGGGGAAAGGGAAAAGAGGAAATCAAATCCGCTTTCTAAACACATTTCACAATTAATTATTTTCCAGTTATTGTTCTTCACATAATAATAATAAAGTCGCAAGCTAATAATGAAGGAAAGCATTGCTTATCTTAATAACATACTGTGGGTATCATGGATATGTATAGATAACAGTGCCAAATGTAAACATGAGCTAATTGTACATTATGTACATCCTCATGAAACCCTAATTATATGTTTATATCATTGAGGCAGAAGTGCACCGTCAACACCAAAACACTCTCTCTGCTGCACAATGTGATGCATTGTTCAGAGTTAATTGTAATGGGTTTTTTCTGCTGTGGACTGTCATGGGAAATGTTTTTTTTTAAATTAGTGTAGTGTCAAGTTGTATATCATTTTAAAACTGCTTTCAATCTATATGTCTTACTGCTCCAAATGAGAACATTATGTTTGCAGCTCTTAGACAGCAAGTACATCATTATAATAGTAGTGATGACGTAAATTGCACATTTTATTAAAGCAATGGGCTGTCGTTACCTTTAAATCCCTATACGTAATGCAATCGTTCATATGCATAATTAACAGTGCACAAAAAAAGCGGTCTGTGTCATAAACAGACACCACGAATGATATGTATTCTTCTTTCAAAATCCATTCCAGCGCATTGCTACTGCAGTGCTCAGCATGGCTACTGCAATGCTGCTTTTCATCCTGGACATTACCAATCCATAACAGCGGTTACACAAGAACGAACAGAAACAGAATTCTGATTAGTTCTTACGTCTTCCCAGCCACTCCCAGGTGTGTAGGAGATGACATCCAGAAAGGGATTGGCCAGGTAGCCCTCGTAATTGAACGAATAGTCCCGCCCACCAAGTGTGATGTTACTGAAATACCTGCAAAGCAGAGAGAACAGAGCAGAAACAGTCTGTTGAGATGGAAGAGATCCAGATAGAATTAGTATAAAAGACTCTGAGGACATGTCAAAGAGGAAATCTTGCACAGAGCCCTTCACAAACATCCTAATTAGGTCAGATTGCAAGACTGTGGTGAAGGTAACCATTTTTTTCCTTCAGCAATGGAATCAAAGGAGGCAATCACTCTATTTCGAGCACTTAATCTAAACCAGTAAAATACCCAGAACAGTGCCTAAATGTGACTGCTTCAAATGAATGTTTTTTATCTTAAATCCAATATGTTTTTGGCAAAATGACTGCACATTTAAAAATCTGACTGGGTGAACAAGTTTGAAGGAGTAAAGTTTGCTCTGTTCTTATGAGCCTTATGTGGATATTCCTCACAAAGTACCTACAACTCTGTGATAAATACATGCAAAACCATTATGTGGAAGCCTATTTAGCAAACCGTAATTACATCAGCAAAGCTAAACAGGTGAGTCTCTTTTTCCCATCAATGTTCTTCTGATGTGTAATGAGTGTGAGTCACACTGATGTGTTACGTTGAGAGTTTCTGCTCAGTGAGTCCATGTAATTTCTCCCTACAATGTGTAAAATATGCTGTTAAAGGTGGTTAACACGTTTTTTTAAAGTTCAGTCTGTTCAGATGTTCTAGTTTCATCACTGGCAGCCAGTGGTTTTCTAGTCAAATTTATTGATGAAGCTGTTCGTTAATTAAGCTTGTTTAAATTTATTTTACCAACGATAACAACGATGACAGAAAATGCGGTGATGATAATTACATATTTTAATTAAAACATACTGCTGATGAACATATGATGAGACAAAAATAAAGCTGACTGTTTCAAAGAATCTGATTATAGTCAATAATGACATGGATATAAATTGTTTGAGTATTTTGTAAAATTTTGCACTTTCTTTCGTCTACTAAAATGGAATGCCATTTTTGTCTAATTCAACAAAAATTAAAAAATGACAAAATACTAACTAAATTAAAAGGATGATTTTGTCAAAAAGCCCCTCAGAAATTATCCACCTAATTTTTCAACGCAGAAGTAAGCTGTTTCCTGTGAATTTGCGAGATTTCCAATTGATTAGCAACTACAGGTACATAACTAAGAATAACAAAGTGCAATAAATTAAAAACTATTTTGCAATAAAACCTGTGTTTCTGATTACGATAATACTTTAAAATAACATGATAACAAATACCAGTTTGCAACATCAAGCAGCATAATGGACTAGATTACTAAACATAACTAGAACTAGCTGATAATGGAAGTTAAAAATGGCCCCACCTGCTCTTGTGTTAAAAATACGGTGGATAATAATAAATGAAACTGGCACATGCTTGTTGATTATAATTATAAGCTCTTCTAGCTTTTCTGAATTGCTTGCTTTCAGGGTAGACACAGCATCAAGCACACTGCTATTGTTTATCCCCTCCCACCCATGTTGTCTTCTTCAATTCAGGGGCATGTTGAAAGCCTCCCCCTACAGTCCCTGTGGTGGGGGAGTAAAGGATGTTCATGCCCCAAAGGTGCAGCACTTTCACTCTCATTAAAGTGTGTCATTACAGATAAATAGACTTACTATAAATGCAACAAAGCAGAAAAGTTGAAGGTTAATGCCAAATTAGATGAGCTTTAAACACAGTTCTCAGGGTGAACATAAATAGAGGGATTTTTAAAGATATTCAGGATCAGCATAATAAAACTTTTAAACTACGCTGAAAGCAGCATTTATTTGCATGTGCTGGATTAGCACTTGATTCACTAAATGAATTACGCAGGCAATATCACGAATACACAACCTTTGAACCCGTACAGTATAGTCCCAGCAGACATCCAGACACCTAAATAATATCTTAAAAAAGCAGAAAGTGCACTTTACTTCATGTGAATCTGGATAAATGCCCCATTATAACACTCCTCTCCATCATTTGATAATAATCAGCTGATTTACTGCTGTCATGATTACTAGAAAGTGCACAAACATCCCTTTTGTATAAAAATTAATTTGTCACCTGCTTAAATTTGATTGTGAATAAAGAGCGATACACAGTACAATGAGCCTAATTTACATAGAAATAGGGCATGTTTGTGTGGAAATGAATGATAATTACTTAATTTAAATACTCTGATTGCACCTGTTAAAAACTAGTTGGCGAGTGTTTACTGAATGCGACAGTATTTAATGTCATTTGATCAATTTAATGCATCCTTTTGAATATAAGTATTAATTTCTTGAAAAATAATCTTTACTGAACTCAAACTTTTTAAAAGTAGTGTATTTATTGAAAAAATTTAATTAATCAATTATGTTACAGCCTTCTTATGCTGCCCAATGAAATCTCATTTGATAAAATCAAATCTCATCCTATCTCACCCTCATGTCCAAGCAAATATTCAGTTTCACTTAATACAGTACATTGCATTAGTCAAATGCCTAACGAAAGCTTTTTTATGTTCATGGTCACTATAATATAGAAGAAAATGTTACGCTGCTTGGTGTGAGCATGTTGTATCTCTCTGTGCAAAACATACAAGTCACATCTTGTATCGGTGGAAAGAACTTACTTCATTCTACCGCGAATCCTCTGTGTTCTGTTGCCATCTGTCTGGCAGTTAGTGACAAAGTGCGGCCCTCCAGTGGCTCCATAGTCTTTACGCAATGCGACAGCTCCATGGGTAAGGATGGACACCCCACGGGCGATACGTCTGCGGGGTTCGTCCCTCCAGCCCTGCGGTCTGACTGCAAACAGTCGAGTGGGAAGTCCGGTCAGCCCCAGCTCGGACAGAGCCGGACCCACTGCGAACCATATGTGAGAGGCGCTGGCCTGACCAGCTGCCCAAGCAGCATGGAACACCTGTTCTGCTTCCTCTTGAGAGCAGTACAACAACCGCACCTAGAGTGGGAGTGGGGGCAAAGAGGACAGAGGCGACCAAGATAAAAACCAGAGAGCAGGAGCAAGAGAGGAAACAAAAGAGAGTGCAAACAAGAACACAGAGGTCAAAAGGGAGAAAGAGACCATGAGCAGAATGAGAAGAGGAAATGGAAGAGAGGACAGGAGATGTATTGGGTTTATATATTTTAGGGCTGGAACTTACTTAGGAAATCAAAAAACTATCGTGAAAATAAGTCACATCTTTGCAATGTACTTGTGGAACCTGAAAAATGTCTTTCTTGAAAAAAAAAAAAATTATTATAATGAGTATTTCCATTTTACAAAACAGAGCCTAACAGTCGTAATTTCAAAAGAGCGTTTAAAATGTCGCTGTCATCATTAAACTTCAGATATTTCATAGAGCATTCGTGTCAATTAAACAGAGCACAACAGAAAGGGAGTGCAATCACTTGGATCAGTGAATTTGGATTAAAACTTGAAATCCTATATGCCCTGTAATTAATGATATATGAAAGCAAACATTGAAGGGATTACTGAAAAATTAAGGTTTCATTACAGGAATTAATAAACTGATTACTGCAGATTTATGTTCTATAGTATGTACCATGTTCAAAGGGCCGCATATGTGTGCTCCTGCAGTCATACATTCTACTGTACCTCTCACCAGTTAAAACTGTTATTTCAATGCTATTTATTCTGTCGCATTTAAAGTGTAGTGTTTTTTTATCACTTTTTTCACCACTTTGTATAGCACAGAATATGGCTTACTTCAATGTGCACACTGTTTAAAGAACAATATTGGTTAAGATAGCTGATTAATCAATCAAAGAACTAACCAACAATTAATTGAATATCAAAACAGTTATTAGCTGCAGCCCTGATGTATTACGATTTATTCCAGCCAAACAGTAACAGACAGAAATTATTTTACAGGAGAGGAGCATTACTCCTTTGGAGTAATGGTGCTGGGACATGCCTTAATGAAAAAAGACGGCTACAGGATGGATGGAAAGAGAAGGAGAGAAGGAAAAAGGGAGAAAGGAAACTAGCACATCTGGGAGGGAGAAAGGAAAGAAGGAAGGAAGGAAGGAAGGAAGGAGGGAGGGAGGGAGGGAGGGAGGAAGGAAGGAAGGAACAGTAAAAAGCAGAAACTGAGAGATGGACTAAAGATTTCACCTTTACAATGCATGAGAGAGAAAACCCCAAAAGAGATAGACTGTAAAAGAGAGAGAACAGGAGAAGAGGGCTAGAGAACTGGGAAAAGAACAAGAGAATGATAGAATAAATGGATAGAAAATCCAACTCATATCTAAACTCACCAGCCCTGAACAGGACAGACTAAGTGATGAAATTATGTTCTTGTTCTGTGTGTGTGTGTGTGTGTGTGTGTGTATGTAGAGTATGCAGTATATCCTATATGTCAGCGGTGGCGAACTCCGGTCCTGGAGAGCCGCAGCCCTGCAGAGTTCAGCTCTAACCCTAATTAAAACTCACCTGCCTGTAGCTTCCTAATAACCGTTCAGACCTTGATTAGCTTGTTCAGGTGTGTTTGATTAGGGTTGAAGCAAAACTCTGCAGGGCTGCGGCTCGCCAGGACCGACGTTCGCCACCCCTGCTATATGTGTATAAAGTAGGGGTGGGCTGTACATCGAAAATCTTGGTATGAGAAATACCGTAATAATGGTAATATGTATATCACATTATAAAATAGTATAGTTTTGGTCCTGGCTTTTTGATTGGTCAACACCGCATCCCAGTCGTGCTAAAATACACAAAATAGGTGAAACACACCAGTTTATCACTGCACAGCTCCTATAGCAGACATTTGTGTTGCATAGCAATATGGTCGGGACTATATCTTTTAGCAGAAGAATGCCACTTGCTTGTAGCAATAAACATTGTGATGCATTGTGAATATAGTCACAGCTAAAGGGCTTGCAAGCCGCTGTGCATTATACTTACCTCTTGAACCAAATATTGCTCCTATGAGAGTTATTTTTAGGAATGCACCAATTTTAATATTCTAGCTGATAATGATAAGCCAATAAGTATTTGATGTTATAGCTGATAACCAATAAATACAGTAGCTGATATTAAAATCCTACATTATTTTTCCTAATATATAATAATAAATAAAACATAAAAAACTCAAATCAATTTATTTAAAATTAAATGTAGGCATCACAACATTAATAATTAAATAAATAAAAAACATTACAATTTAATAAAATGATTAAGATTGTGTTTTTAAATATTAACTTCAAGTTTTACTAGGAGATAGTAAATATAACCTAAATGTGAAAACAGGAGAAATTAGCATGAAAATTAAATAACTAATATAGGTCAATATATTCAAATATCGATTGATGATAACCTATTTAAATTCAAATAATTAAAAAAACGTTTTCATTACAATTATTAATATTAAATTTATTTTATTTTAATAAAATGACTGTTTAAATATCAACTGTAAGTGTTCATCAGATAATAAAGATAATCTAAATATAAAATTAGAAATTAGAATGCAGAATAAAAATTTCAAAATAGGTCAATATCTATCCAATATCAACAATATTCATAACATTACAACAATATAATAACAATACATTGAAGATATTTAAAAAGTCAATTTTAACTGATAACCCAAATGGTATTGTGCATTCATATAATTTTTACTGTATATTTTATATCAAGATCTTGACATGACCCCAAACCCAAAGATAAGATCATTCTTAAGAAATGAATGATAAGTCTGGCATCAGTACAACTGAGTTGAAAACAATCCCCAATACTCGCTGAAATATCAAAACTAAATTGCTCCCATTACAATCAACAAAGTTGTCTACACTGAAAACAACTCTGCAACACAGTGTGTAGACTATAACTTTTTGCTTAGTGTTTTATTTATTTAAAATCATACAGCTGATACACTGCAGTACTATAAACGGTATACCAATATCTACCAACTGTCATACTGGCCAGCATAGTCTAAGAATACATTTGCACTCTATATATTCTACTATGCAACTTTCTGTGTGTTTATACATGCATGCTTTATGTATGTGTGCAATATTTATTTCAGAGTGAGTGTGTGTAATTGAGCAGAAGCACTGCAGACTGAATCTAATGCATACGGCATTGGGCTACACCGCCACAGGCTCCATGTTATATTAACACTGACATCAGTGTACTGGGACCCACAAGGCACAATAACACCCTCTAACACACACATACACAGAACAATAACAGCCTGGAGCCAGGGGGAGACAGAGGACAACCTGTGACACACATACACACACGTACGCATTACACAAATATAGGTAGAGATGGGAAAGGGAATGGGAATGAGAGAGGAATGAAGGAAGGACAGTGAGAGGTCAGAGAAAGATGGTGGCAAAAACAACCGAAAGAAAAAGTAAAAGAAATGGTTAAGGACAGGAAGGGATGTCCGGTGGAGGGAGGAAGAGTAAACGAATGATTAAATGAGATAGTAAGCGAATAAGTGAGACAGAAATGCAATGACCTTCCCTCTCTACCTGTGCTTCATTCTCTTTCAGTAGCCGTCGTGTGCGTGCTCCTCCTGGGTCATCAGTTAAATTCAACATCACTATGCTCTTCTTCTCCCAGCCGATGAATGACCCGTCGGTCAAACCTTCCACTACTGACAGGAAGTCCTGGTAGCCATGGTGACGTGTGGACACCACCGAGAAGGCCGTCCAATCATACTCCTCCAGCACCTCAAAGATCACCTCCAATTGGAGTGCGGTGGAAGAGCTGAACTGCAGGAAGATTGAGCCGGTCTCCTGCAGAGTAATTGAGATGGTAAACGACTACATTTCCCAAGACTAAAGACAGCTGATTCATTCCTTGCATAAGGCATCATGGGAACTACATTTCTTCTGAACTGTTTCTAATGTGACATTCTCTAATCATAACAGTAGACAGAGCTTGTCTTCTGCAGTGCAATTAAGGGTAAAACTAACTACGTTTCCTGTGATTGAAGACTATATCTAATAATAGAAATTAAATTTCTTATAAAGAGTTACCGAGATATACAGTCGCTGTAGGAACAGGAGGGAGGTACTTTAGTGACTGTGATCGTTACTGCAGTATGTCACACAGCTTAAAATTGAATTTGCAATGGCGTTGAGTGTACGCGTGGGTCCGAGAGTGTGTAGGATTCATCGACAGGATTCAATATCATGTCTCTAGAGTAAATAATATAATGATAAACAAAACATTTGTGAATGAAAATGTCTTTTTACTTTTTTTGTTTTCATACTGTGCTAGGGAGAACATGTTGAGACGAGCAACTGAAATTGCAAAACACAGACCGAAGCACTTCAGTGAACACAAGAGGGAAAAAAAGAGCAGACCATATGGCCTGCAGCGGTAATGCATGACCCTTGCCCTTGCTATTTATACAAATGGATGTTAGTAATGCCATCCCTTCCTACAGTTATCGGTGTGTGCCCCGATCAGGCCCCCGACAGACGATGGCAGCCCTATCTCTGTCCGTTTAACGGTCCTCCTCAGGTGGTACCATTAACAAACAATGCCCTTATAGCACTGCAGCAAGCCAAACACTATCTAGCAAGTGTTTGAGCTCATTAACACCAAAAGCTTGCAGAGAGATGTTTGTGATGAATTTCCACAGTCCAAAGAAACTCCAATATTGTTTTTTTTCCCCTTTCAGAAACAACAACACTGTCAAATAATTCAGTGCCGCTAAAGTGCGTCTGAGACTGTTCACTGTGACAGGTCTAAGAAATCCTCAGTGGCCTAGTTTTATTGTCCTATTAAATGGCATAGACTGTACAGTTAATCAGGAAAACACACTATTCATTTCAAGACAACTATATTTCAGAATCAAAATCAATCGCACTGGCTGGGTACAATCACTTTTAAGAGGAATTTGACTTTGAATTTGTTGACACTAGCTTAAACCTCACAGGGTTACAGGAAATGCTTCAAACAGGACATGTTTCTGTCTGTAGACTTTTGGTTCTGTATTTAAAATCATTCAGTTAGTTTGCACCAGTCTATATCAGGATATTTCCACTGTGAAAAGATAGATCAACTCAAGATTATAGATTTATTGTGAATAATTACTAGTTGATTTCTAATTTGAATGCAGTTAGAGTAAAATCAAACTCTAAGGATGCGGTCACATCTCAAAGTTCCATTGTTAATAGACTAGTGTAGCAATGTATGAAGCACCGCTCACACAGACTCACCAAGCAGCTAAGGGAAACTTTGCAAAACTCCTAATTGCGTGGATTCTTATTGAAATCATTGGATTAGTTTTTTTATTGGAATTTTCTTCTGAGCGATGGTGAATGTGACCAGACCTAAATTCTCTAAACAATCATACCTGTGGTACCCTGCCCAGACCTGCTCCCCCTCCCACAGCAACGATGGGGAGGCCGGTCTGGGCCGAAACAAACTCCAGCATGGGGGCCAGGGGGCCAGAGGCCAGCGGGAGGGGTCTCTCATCTTCATACACGAGTCCCTGAAGGGGCCTGGCTGCCAGCAATTCACACAGCTGAGAGAGCAGCGTCCTGGGGCTGCTGTCATTCACCTGTAGGTAATTCACATTCACGTTCTCATTCACACCACATTAACTTTTGTAGTTAGGAATGAATACTCATGCTTAAGTGATTTTGTGTTCACACTTCAGTTCACAATCAACAAAGTGGTATTGAGGCTACTCTAAATTTAAAATCAATTCAGTTTAATTTGCATGACCTCTATCGGACAGACCTGGAGCCAGATTACGTTTGCGGATCCCCACTGGGTGACGACACTCTCACCAAAGCTGCTGTGTACACGTCCGAAGCCCGGGTATGGCACCCTACCCGCAGCTGCTGTAGCCCCTGCTTCCCCTTGTTGAACCGTTGAGCCCACATGGATCACTGCGATGTTGAAGTGCATTGATGCCACCGGGTCCCGTTCACGCTCTCGGGGCCGGAGCAAGAGATGAGGGGAGGAGCTACTCTGACCCGCCCATTCTACCAGGGCCAATAGCAGAGAGAGTGTGGGTACTGTGACCATGGCAATAAACGAGGAAGCCAAACGTGAGGGTACAAAGAAAGCCTGAGTGAAACCAAGAAGGAAAAGCAAGAGGGAAACTCTGATTAAAATAAAATCATACAAGCAATATATTGCATACATTTTAAAAAACACTTGAGAGATAAAGCCTAAAGAGAGAGTAAGTGCTTAGAACAAGAAAAATGGCAAGAAAGCACAAGAACTGACAAAAAATGGAGGAAAATGAAATGGGCTTTTATTCAGGACACAGGGTGAAATGGAGCAACACAGGAGGATAATTGATAGAGGGATAGAAAGAAACTGCATGTGAGCTTGTGTGTGTACAGGTTTATCTGTTCTTGTGAGGGCCTGAAACCATCTTGTGAGGACATCTAAAGTGGTCTTCACTATTTGAAAGGCTCACAAATCAGCCAATTCATGTTTTCAATTTACATTTCAATTCAATGTAATAATGGCATAATGGCAACAGGTTTGTATGAGGGATTTTTTGCATTTATTAAATAGGTCAATGACCAAAAAAAAGTGCCCTTGATAAAGAAAAGGAAAAATATTATATTAGCTATTATTATAAATCTACTTTAAACACAAGTTCTTAGAAATGTACTCTTTGGATTCATGTTTGTTTCATATGGTTTGTGGAAAAACTCAATTGATGTAACCACAATTGAATTGCATTGTCAGTTGGGATTCAGTGCCTTGCTCAAGGGTCTCACCTCAGTCGTGGTATTGAAGGTGGAAGAGAGCACTGGTTATTCACTCCCCCCCACTGATAATTTCGTCTGGATCTGAGACTCGAACCCGCAACCTTTGTGTTATAAGTCCGACTCTCTAACCATTAGGCCACGACTGCCCCCCATGGCCAAACAACATGGCCAATTATTCAGGAGTCCTCCATGACACTCTGCAATTCCTAAGTATTTTATGGTTTGGTGAACTGGGGGAAAATTTCATATGAATTTTGTAAGATACCATTTGCATGTGTTGTGTGATCAACTTACATCCCAATGAGGGTTAGATTTAGGGGTGAGATTGGAGGTGAAACTTCATATTTTGTTTCAAAAAGTCTTACGTTTAGTAAGAATCAAATCATGCACATTCATATGAGATCAGCAACTCTTTAAATGGTTACATTTTTGGCATTTTTGAGTCCTTTTTTTTCTTGCATGTTAGTCACACCGCAAAAGTTTTCAAATTTAGAAAGCAGCTTCTTTCTGAAAAATAATAATAAAAGATTATGCCAAACTATTTCAATAATAATTTTTTTTTTCCATTATGATATCAGGAATCTTGTATCACCCTGATATTTTTTTATATTTTAAAAAGCTATCAACATTTTCTTTAGTTTAGAAAATAAAAGTTCATAACAGAGGAGTTGTATTCCAATTCATTGTATGAATGAATTACTGTATTTTAATGTATTGGTAATGAACAGGCTACATTTTAAGATCTGCACAAAAAAATAAGCGTCACGTCATTGACCTAAATATCATTATTTTAGAACAAAACCACAGCATCTACGAAAGGCACCCACTAACATAGCTTCTAAGGTGTGTGTGTGTGTGTTAATAAAAACAAGTCAAGAGTCAAGGAATGGATGGTGCTTACTGTAAGGTGAATGAATAATTTAAAAAAAATTTAATATAAACACCCACACAAATTCGTCATACCCACATGACCGAACACACACACACACCAATAAAATGATTTTTTTTAAGAGTAAGAGGTTATGCAGCTGATATGCAAGAAAGTGCCTCCATGCTGTTTTACGCTCTTTTCTTTCTCAGTTACACACACACACACACACACACGCAATACAAGCAAATCATTTTCAATTTACTTTTGTAGCAGCCTCCTCCTGGCTGCATGACTTCAGGTGCTAATGCAATTGCTTGCAATCACCAGGCACCAGGAATCTCTGACATAATATTCCCTCTCTCCCAATTCTGTCACCGCTTTCTGGGTTTATTCTCTTTTTGTTGCATTCTCTTTCTCCCTCTGTTTTATTTATCTGTCTCTAAGCCTGTTGGTCTGTTGACCCTGACGAGTCCTTCAGATGAATGGAAGAAAGAATTAAGAGGCCAAAGAAGAAGCAATGAGCAGAATATGGGAGGGATGGAGACAGAGAGAGAGAAAGGGGGAGACAGGCAGACATTGGAATTCTGTTTGGCTGGAAGAGGTAAATATAGTCCGAATGACTAAGATGAGGAAAGAGATAGGGAGGAGGGAGAATGGAGGGAGTGGAGAGTAAGAAAGAGGGATGAAATATGGAGGAATAGAGGGAAAGAGAGAAATATTGATTACTGGGGTGTGTGTACGTGTTTGGCCTGAACAAACATGCTGGCAATCCTCCAGTTTTGACAGACAAGGGATAGTATGAGAGTGTGTGCGTGTGTGTGTTGTGTGTTATGTGAAAGGTTGGTGGAAGAAGGGGGGTTGGGGAGTTGGAACGCACAAAAGAGCATCCGAGCACATTCCACAACAGCATATTACTGTTTTTGAGTCCCATCAAATTAACCTGGTGCAATCATAGCCTGGGCTTGTCATTTGGGAACCCACTGTGCTAATGTTGTGCAAAAGCAGCAATTTACTGCTGCTTCCACAGGTTGCATTGTACAGTAGGAGATGTGGGAAGTGCACACGCAGACCTGAATTCATCAAAGAGAGCCAAAAACACTCAACAATATATCATCCACAAAGGAAAGGACTCGTGCTTCGCTGTTGCTTACAGACCCCCAGGCGATTCTAAAATACTACAGAGTACATTACTATAACGGCTCTCTATAAATCTACATAAATCTCTAGTGTCCCTGACTGGTTTATTAAATATGTGGCGAACACTTTCTTTTCAGAGAGATTCAGATATGTTCAGTTCAGTTTATTTACAATGAAATAATTACAAGCTCATGATGTAAAGCATAACATGTATATTTAAACAATTTCCAGATTCATAAGGCAGCACAAGGTCATTTTTATTTTTTTATCACAAAAAACCTGCACTTTATGTATAGGGGAACAATAACATATTATATTTTATATGATTAGATATACTAGACAAATACTGGTAAAATTTCCAAATATAAATGAAGGCATATTTACAGTCTTAATTTAAGTACGTTTTGAGACTGAAAATCTCGATATTCATTCTAGCGCTTCTTACCTCGCTCACTGGCGACGTTCGATTCATGAAAGAATCAGTATTTTAAGAGAGATCTTTTTAATGAACTGTTGATCCATTTCACAAAAACGGTCTGAATAATTTGTTCATGAATCATGCTTGTTTGGTTGCCTAGTTAAATTCACTGAAACAATGATCCCCTTTGCAGCAGTTAACAGCTTACTACAGGAGATGAAGACATTCATAAAAATATATAAAAATTAAATGAATATATAAATAAACCCCCTTTTGTGTTCCACAGAAGAAACAAAGTCATACAGCTTGGAATGACATGTGGTTGTGTAAATAATGACAATTCTCATTTCATTTTTGGGTGAACTATTTCTTTAAAACAAAACAATGCATCTTTATGCACTTCTTTACATCCAGTCCAAAGTAGATTGACTTGAGCATGTTTACATGCACGGTCCTAACCCAATTATGAATAATATTATTGATAAGCTGACAATGCATGTAGTCATGTAGCCTAAATGATTTTGTGCAGCATTAGTAGTTACAAATTGTCTATTTTTTTTTCCATTTTATGACCCGTGACAACCAGATTTAAAGGTATAGTTCACCCAAAAATTAAACTTCTCATCATTTACTGACCCTCATGTCATTCCAAACACATAAAACCTTTGTTATCTTCAAAACACAAATTAAGATATTTCTAATGAAACCTGAGATGTTAATCCAGGTAACCAAAACTTAGAAGATCCTAAAGGGCCATAAATGTGGCATAAATCAAACACATATGAATGAAGAAGTTTAACTCAAAACTTGTGAAGAGATACTATCACTTTATATGATGAACAGTTTTAATTTATGGGTTTATTCACAAATTAACAATGATCATCACACATACATAGAGCATATCTCTTCACTAGACTTAGATTAAACCACTGAAATCATTTGTATTAATTTTACGACGACTTTATGACCTTTTTGGATCTTCAAAGTTTTGGTTACCTGGATTTTCAATAAAGGGACAGAAACCTCTCAGGTTTCATAAAAAAAATCTTAATTTGTGTTTCGAAGATGAATGAAAGTCTGGAACGACATGAGGATGAGTAAATGATGACATCATTTTCATTTTGGGGTGAACTATTGCTTTAAGGTGCAATACAGCCACCTACTCTGTTGGAGTATCTGGATATAGCATAAACATAATATCGATATATATATTTTTTTTTTAAATATCACGTTTATGTAGCTTATATCGGTATATTGCAACAGTATAAGCAACTTGCCAACAGTTCCCTGCCCCTCACTTCCTGAAGAAACAAACAAAACCAACTAATGGACAACAGAATGCACCAGACGAGAGATGGACTACATTCACACATGCTGGATGGAGGCCTTATGCACTGACAGCTCGTGATCATTATGGCTGAGCTCATGGCTGCATTCCCTGCACTGCACCGGCAGCGAGAGTGCTCCCCTTTACAGCACGGCTGTAAACACAGCTCGTAAAATGCTTCGCATGCACCGTGATGACCAACGCTATCGAAAGCACTTTAGCTGACAAACGATCACGTCATCCATCATCTTTTCACACAGGCGCAGGTCACAACAATAAAGCCCACACTGCACTGCACAAAACATTACTACACTATTTAGATACCTTGAGTTTGTTAATAGCGTCTAATCTAGTTCACCTCTAAGATCTCTACTTCAAGAGTGCAGTTCAAAGTAATCTTATCCACAAGACAATAGCTGCCTTATCTTCCTCCTTTACCAGATTTTCACCTTCAATCTCAGCAGGCTAAGAGAAAACAAGCTGTATCCCCTAATTTTCTCATCAGCATTAAACAACATGCAGGCTATTATGCCTTGACAAAATTAAGCAAATCAAACGTTTCCATTCTGTAGGGTGTTTGTACAACAC